AAATAAAGATCAGATGTAAAAAAAAATATATTGAAATCTAAGTAAGAAAATAAAAAAAAGAAGAAGAAAAACAAAAAAAATTTTTAAAGCTTTAAGAAAATTTTTTTTTTTTTTTTTTCGTTTTCGTTTTGAATATATTCTTAACCATTTGCTGGAGCTAATCGGTTAACAAACGCAATTGCATTATAACACATTCGTGCAACAAATGGTGGACATGCTGGTTTATTACATAAATATTCCACACTTTGACGAATTTCATAAAAAACAGTTTTTGTAAATTGATTTCTATGTGATGTATAACGTAATGTAAGAAATCGATAATACATAAATATCAAAAGAAAATTTGAACGTGAAACAAATATAGATAAAATTAATATTGGCATAAGAACTATTTCATTTAATGCAACAAATTTTAATAAAATTATTTGATTTTCTGTTATACGTGCATGTAATTGTTGTATAGCTGGAAAATTTATTAAAATTTGTGATAAAAATGCACATGAATGTAATATTGCATATGTTGTTATTGGTATAAGAACAATTGTCATTGGTGTACTACTTAAAAATAAAAATGAATACATTAAATAATGTGCACTATCTTCACGAAATAGATTAAATAAAAATTCACGTGATAATTCAAAATTAGGTAAACGTTGACGAAGACGTAAAATTGATGTAACAACAGCTGATAATAATGCTTTTGTATAATAAATATTTGATTCTGAATGGAAAAATGGTAGAATAAACATAATTGTATAGAATATTGTTGCTAAACGTGATAATAACAGAACAGCATCAGTTTTACGTTCAAGTAATCTATTGATTATTGAAGATGGTGGTGGACGTGGTGGTGGTGGTGATGATGATGATGATGAAGCATTTGATGATGCTTCATCATTTCTATTTGGTGATGAATCCGAATTATTTGAAACGTCTTCAACAAGAACCATTGTGTTTAATTGAATGTATATGTTTATTTCGAACTTATGAATGTCAATTATATGATAGAGAACAACAACATCAATTCATAGGCGTTAGAATCGATGTATCGTTTTCATTGCATGTGGCGATTTATAAATTAATCATCCGTTGATAATAATTTATTATTTTATATCTTAAAATTTTATTTTCATTATTATTGAAATTATATTTTTATATCTATAAGTCAAACTAAAATTCTATAGTAGCGACTCTCAAGGTTTTTATTGGTGTATCAATAAAAAATCTTCAAACCATTTTTCAATCAAGATCATTATGTCAAACGACATTATCAAAATGTACATCAATTCATATTCCATTATCAGTCTAAAAATATAATGATTATAGCAAAAATATTGAAAGAGCTGATAACAAAAAAAAAAAAGAAGAGTGAAACCTATAAAAGCATTTACTAATTACTATGACAAATTATTGTAAGAGAAATATAAAATATTATTCTCAAAATTATAGCAGTGTCAGTAGACCTTGCAGTGATACTAATTTCACGATGCGTCCCCATAGGACTATGTCTACAAGATTAAGATGCATTCTGTCTTATATTTAATTTATTTTCAAGTTTTTTTTTTTTTATTAAAATAATTCTTGAATATTTTCCATCAAGAAAGAAAGATATAATGTTCATATTAGATTTTGTTTCAAACAATTTATTTTTTTTTTTTGTATTGTTTCATAAATGATTTTTAAATAGCTTTCATCATTTTCAATTTATTGAAATTTTAAAACAATTAGTTTTACATTTGTAATTGTTATAGATATTAGTTAGATCATAAAAGAAGAGCGCTTCTCGTGTTTTATCATTTTTAATTAAATTTTTTAAATCGAAAAATTCTATATAAATTTATTTGAATCGTTCAATGTATATTGTCTCTTTCATTTTTAAAAATAAATATAACTTTCATAAACTATTAATTGCAACTTTCAAAACTATTTTTATATTTTATTTCTATATACTTCGTTAAGCTTTTAGTTCTATCCTGATAGAATTTTTACTTCATAGTTTAAAGCACATTGTTATTAATAAAGTCAATTGCTACGAACTAACGAGAGAACTCAATCAGATGTTTGAATGAATGATTTAGAATTGAAATCAAAACCAATAAGTTCATATTATAGAAAAAAAACTGAAAACTAATGATTCTAACACGATTCAGGAAAAAAAAGGCATGCTTGCAATCAGAAGATAGCCACTTTGGCAAATGTGTAATCATAAATTATCCTCCGACATTAATCATTTTTCAAAAAGTAATTCATCAAAAATAGCCTTTCAGCTTTATACAGATAACATAATAATATAGAAAAATCCAATTAAAACGAAATTCAATTTTCATGTCATTTATCATGCATTCAATATCTTCATAATGAAATGACTTCGTCGAAGTTTAACCATACCTGTATAAGCTATTTTCATGGTTGATTCAACACAAAATCTACTTGATTAATGCAATCGAATGAAGAGAAAAGGATCCGAGTTAGGCACAGAACAGAAAAAGTTGTTCTGTAACACATTCTGTTAAGAACTAAATTTTTGTATGATGATAGTGAGAGAGATTAGCGTCTTGAACTTCAGTTTTTTCAAATTGTTTTCTACAAAAACACATTTTAGTGCCGTTCTAAGGTTTGCTCAATATTCAAAAGAATTATTTTCAACGCACACTGTTCAAAAGAACTTTTAACGTAGATTTTTAATAGATGTTATTGATTTTTTTTTTTAATGTATTCTTTATTCAATAAAAAAATGAAGTGATATTCTTATCAGTAGCTTTTGCATTAGCCATGTTTAAACATAAAGTGATCGGACATATTTACGGTCAATAAAAAATAAACTATGATTTATTGCAATGTTATTTTACAAGTGATGTACTCAAACGATTATTTGATTCATGAGAACATCAGTTTGATATTGATGTGGTTTTTTGATGAAATATTTAAGGAATTTTATTCTTTTGAGTCATATCTTTTGATCTTATTTAGTACATATCATAAAATACGACTTTTTTTTCGACAATATTCATTGTTAATTTTAATATTTGTTAGATTATTTATGATTGTAAAGCAACATTAGAATAATGAAACGATGAATTGAAATATTTTTGCTAATAGTTCAAATTAATTTTCAATTAACAATTAGATAATCTATATACAAGCTTTACTCGTTTATTCGCATACGTTGAATTTAATTTTCGCATTGTTCATTACTTTGATATACTGGTATTGGATTATTGACTATTTGTAGAAGTTGTATTTAAACATTTGAATTACCTTACATATATATTATATTAAAATAATATAAATTCTTTTGTCTTGTTTCATTATTTTAAATAGGCGTGTTACATGAGAAAGTTGGTATAGGCTATCTTAAGAACGGCTGAACGTATCGAGCTGTCCGCTGGTTACTTAAGGGTTTCTCGATGTGCTCTTTCTTTTGTCTAGCGGACACTTTTGTCCAAAATGCTCGGCAGTAGGTTTTCTAGAAAACTGTGGTTTTGGAACCAATGGTCGCGAAAGTTTTTTGCTTTAACAGTCTATAATGGTACAGCAACCAATTCTCTACAAAATGAGATGTCTCTGAGCTCTCTACGACGTTTTTTGGCCGAGTTACATCAATTTTAGTGAAGAGCAAAAGCCATTTGTTCGTTTTTTCCGGGATGAAATAGCAGAAAAAAATGGTGGTGCTCT